AGGCACACACTAGGTGGCATTAAATACCTTGTTTTTTTTCCAATACAGGTTTATTAGCCATATGCTAACCCAGTTACGTTTATGACATCTGCCATCAATATAGCAAGACTGGAAACTAATTGTATTGTTAATATTTTATGTACTCTATTTGTTTATTAGACTTAAAGCTAACTAGGAAGCCCTTACCATCTTGAGTGTATAAAAGGCTGCAAATGAGACAAATGAAAGGACAAGTATGTAAAAATAAGAGCTCTCATGCTAATCATTTCTGCCTGCACCTGCTCCCCCAAATTTATCTGTGAACCCGAACTGAGGAAACATGTTGGGGTTTTTTTCATCAAAAAACCCTTTTTATATGTAGCCTAGTAGTTTTAATTTGTCGGCTGAACTCTAGGTTGTTTTCGTAATCATTAATACATCATTAAATGTGTTTTTTAATGCAAGCCACATAATTACCGGAATTGACTTTGTGTCAGCCCATTAAAATGCCCATGTACAGCAGAACTCAGAGAAAGAAGTATCACAAGCGCTACATCAGTTCATGTGCTAACAACAAGCATGCTGATAGGAGGAAAAAGCAGAGTGACAGATGAACTTATCACAGTGCTGCTTCTCCATTCAGTGTTAATTCGCAGTCTGGGGGCGAGATCACGACAGTAGTTTTTCAAACACAATTTTTTTTTGGGGAAAAAATACACTTTAATGAATTTCAATACAAAAAACACAATAGATAACCCATTTTTTAGTAACATATAAAAGACAATGTTACACTGAGATAGATACCTAACATGTCATGCTTTAAAATTGCGCACACTCATGGAATGGTGACAAATTACAATACAAAAAAAATTCCATAAGCATTTTAAGTTTTAACAGGTTACCTGTTTAGAGTTGCAGAGGAGGTCTAGCACTTGATGTATTGCTCTTGCTCTGATGTTCATGGTGATACCTCACATGTGTGGTTTGAACACCGTTTACATATGTGGGCATGGCCTACGTATGTGTTGACTTTTGTGCCAAGCACAGAGAGATGAGGGCGCTTTCATTGTTTTTTTTTTTTTACACTGTCCCTTTAATTTTTTTTCTTTATATCATTTTTATTCCTATTACAAGGAATGTAAACATCTCTTGTAATAGAAATAAGGAATGGCAGGGCCTCTTTATGGAGAGATCTGGGGTCAATAAGACCCCAAATCTCTCCTCTACCTTTAAAAGCAAAAGATAAAAAAAGTTGATCTTTTGCGTAAAAAAAAAAATGCCCTTGTTTACAAGGCACCAGAACCGGTGACGACATGCTATTGCTCCACTCCTCCAAGACCATAGAAGTGATCAGAGACGATCTGGTCTCTGATCGCCTCTAGGCCAGCTGCGTCACCCGACAGATAATTTTTCATGCATGCCATTGAGAAGGTAAGTCCGAGAAATACCAACAAGTGGTGGGAGGGGAAGGACATCCCCGCCAGCAGCTTCTGAAAGCGATCCAGCAGCTCTTTAGGCTATAGGACCTCTTTCATGAGAAAGCCAGTCGCTAGCTGGAAAAAAATATCGGGATTATGGTTCATAGCTTCAGCCATAATCCCAGTAAACCCATTTCTGACCGCAATGTATACATACGTATTGTGGCCGGCAAGTGGATAGAGAGACTTGAAAGGAACACAATCAACATCAGCCACTGTACTCTATAGAACTTCAAATTAACAAAAGGAACATTTATCAACCAGGATATAAAGTGGGTTAATGAAAATAGAATACAGCAGTCATGACAAAAATACTTTTGGGTAAAGTTTATGATAACAAAATTATATACTTATTGAAAAAAAAATAGTAACTCTGGGAAAACTAAAGTCCTCACTTGCAGTGGTGTTTGCTCGCACTGCAGGGGTTAACTGCTTCTTTATGCCTAGGAGACTAAGTACAGCAGTTTTCTTTACCCAATCTTCTGCTCCTACAAGCTCCTCTTTGCTGCTAGACCAATCCCCGCAGCCTCTTCTTTCCTACACTTTCTGGCAGTATAAGGTCTTCAGATGTTATGAAGACCGAAGCAGGGCCCACAGCCCTGCATGGGACATGAGGAGGAGAGCAACAGTCCACTGCCAGAGCATAGGGGAGCGCTGTCTGCCAGGAGAGCATAGGGTTAGGTAAGTAAAAATGCTTTTTTCCATCCCCTAGACAGAAACTGGCAGTTAACCCTTGCAATGCAACTCCATTGCAAGGGAGGACTTTCGGTTTTCCCAGAGTTGGGCTTTAAGCACATATTAATGAATGAGAAACCAGAAACAGCATTTTGCTCACACAAAGGATTAGATTACTTAGGCTGCAGAAGAGACTCTATACCAGCTCCAGAAATAATATACATTTACTATTCATTTCAGGTTGGTTCACACTTCAGTTTCAGTGTTTCAGGAGCGTTTTTGCATGCGCATTTGGACAGATTTTTGATGTGTTTTTTAAGTGATTAGTTGCATTTTTTTCTCATAAATAAGTTATACTTACCTTCTCTGTGCAATGGTTTTGCACAGAGCAGCCCCAATCCACCTCTTTGCATGTCCTCTGCCAGCACTCCTGGCTCCTGCTGTTCTCCGTGTGCCACCATAGGAAGAGGCTTTGCCACCATTGCTGGCCAGTCCATTCCTGACATTACCATCCAAAATTTGCTGAAATTTTATTGAATCCATTTTTCCTTCTACTCGTGAGATGTTCCCTGTGACACTGGCTGCAACACAACCCCAAAGCATGATTGATCCAACCCCATGCTTAACAGTTGGACAGAGGTTCTTTTCATTAAATTCTGTGCCCCTTCTTCTCCAAACGTACCTTTGCTCATTCCGGCCAAAAAGTTCAATTTTAACCTCATTGGTCCACAGAACTTTTTTCCAAAATGCATCAGGCTTGTCTATATGTTCATTTGCATTTTTCATTTTTGTGGTGAGGACGTAGAAGAGGTTTTCTTCTGATGACTCTTCCACGAAGACCATATTTGTACAAGTATCTCTTTATAGTGGAATAGTGTACCACAACTCCAGTGTCTGCCAGATCTTTCTGGAGGGATCGTGCAGTCAAACGTGGGTTTTGAATTGTTTTTCTCACAATCCTGCGAGCTGTTCTGTCTGATATTTTTCTTGGTCTTCCAGATCTTGCTTTAACTTCCACTGTTCCTGATGACTGCCATTTCTTAATTACATTCCGAACAGAGGATATTGACATCTGAAAACGCTTTGCTATCTTCTTATAGCCCTCTCCAGCTTTGTGAGCGTCAACTATTTTCAGTTTCAGTTTTCTAGAAAACTGCTTAGAAGAACCCATGGTGCTGATTGTTGGGGCAAGGTCAGATGAGTCTGGGCATTTAAAACCTTTGAGATTGACATCACCTGGTCTTCCCAGACCATGATTGAGAACAATCCATGACACTGGCAGGTCTCAGCTTTGCAAAGGGGGCAGTGCATGCTATAAATTCTGCAGGGTGCCCAAACTTTTGCAGACGCCATTTTTTTGTTTTCTGTTATTTTGAAAGTGTAAATGATGGAAATAAAATCTAACTTTTGTTGACATATTATAAGAATGTCTAATCTGTAATTTGATGCCTTTTGGAGATTTTTCCATCTTTCCTTGGCTTCTTTATGCACAATAATACAAATTTTTAGCTGGGGTGCCCAAACTTTCGATCCCCACTGTAAGTATTTTGGAGGGCTTGGGAGAGGGGTGACAATAGAAGGTTTTTCCACCTTGATTCAGAGAATCCATTAAAGTGGTTGCAAACCTTACATATACCCAGTGAAGTGACTGGCCTCGGATGATACACAGAGATGAAACAAATCCTCCTACATAAGTTGTACCTGTTTATCTAATTCCATCTGTCCCCTACATCCATTTAAAGTGTAGAGTTTAGAAAGGATCTCTTAGCTCTGAAAAGCAGGAGACGGAGAGCTGATTGGAAGAAAGGGGCACCTCCCCCCCCCCCCCCCCCCTCCACAGAGCTCAAGGAACAGGCTGAGTGCTGGATGTCCCTCCCCCGTCACCATTTTTCTCTTGATGTCAAGAAAACTTGTCAGAAGTGATTCATGCAGAGGAATGAGGCAGCAGACAGAAACGACACTTAGTGCTCTGGATTGACACACTATAGATGGATATGCTTTGTTCTTTCATTTCTGAGGTTTACAACCACTTTAAGGTAAAAAAAAGCCTTCAGCCTTTACAACTGCTTTAATACATTCCAGTGCATTTTATTCCCCTCCTTTTTAATTTTTTTGACACCGCACTAATCTGAATTCTGAATGGTTGCCACAGGTTACTTTGCATCTTCTCATGGCTCATTACATTGCTGTAGGAAATATCATCAAATTTTCATCATTTTGGGATCATATTCCAGCTTTATTGTGTTTGTTTACCTGCGATTCTGCCAGCATCTTCTCCTGGTTATTAATCATCTGGATGTCTACAAGGAGAACACAGGCAAAATAAGTGTCTGAAATTGTAGGATAACTTCTGAACCCCCAAGCATTCCTGTAAGAGCAAGCATTAGATTATATTCCGCACTATAATGATATGGGCACCCCGCTGGGCGATAAATTGGGTCCTTAAGTGGAAGTTTGGTTAAATTTAGATGGAGTAATTCAGTCTCAGACTACCCAACGATTCATATGTTCATTTTTCTTTGTGTTCCCAGACATGTATACAAATTATCATAAATCACAGCTTGGTATGCAGAGTTACAAAGAACAAAAACACTGACAGATGCAGATGTAAAGGAACGCAGATTTAGGATCGGTCAGACCAACAACATTTTCCAGCATATGTGTAGTGTAAAGGGCTACCTCTATATATTTCAGTGAAAGAGATTGGTCAGAAAGGCCTTAACCCCTTTGCTGCCAGAGGCGTTTCTGAATTTTTATTATTTTTATTTTTAAAAAATAATTTTAGATCTGGAGATCACATAAAACTCCTAAAACATTATGGGGATTATTCACTAAAACTGCAGAATGCAAAATCTGGTTTCACTTTGCATAGAAACCAATCAGCTTCCAGGTTTTATTGTCAAAGCTTAATTGAACAAGCTGAGGTTAGAAGCTGATTGACTACCATGCACAGCTGCACCAGATTCTGAGCGAACCAGGTTTAGTAAATATCCCCCTCTATGTTTTCTGAAACAGACACCCTAAAGCAGGGGTTTCAAACTGGCGGCCCTCTAGCTGTTGCGAAACTACAAGTCCCATCATGCCCCTGCCTTTGGGAGTCATGCTTGTAACTGTCAATCTTGCAATGGCTCATGGGACTTGTAGTTTGGCAACAGCTGAAGGGCAACCAGTTTGACACCCATGGCCTAGAGAATAAAATAGAGGTAGTTTCAGTTTTTTTATGTCATGCAATATCAGCACACCTGATTGTGAAACGCAAAATGTCAGTAAAAAAATACACTGAAAAAGTGCATTTTTAGGGCACAAAATGCAACATATTACTCCATACAGTATAAAAGATGAGGCTGTGCTCAGTAAATAAATACCCAACATATAAAGCCTTAAAATTGTATGCATCTGTGACATGGCAACAAACTTGCATTAACATTCATACGTGCATGTATGTGGGGGAGGGGTTCAGAAATATTTTTTTTTGGGGGGGGGATTCTAAGTGCTTGAGTTTACCTTTAATTAAAAAAAAGCTTTGAAAGATGTAAAAAAATTAAACTTTTTTTTATCAAACGGGGGACAAAAAGTCCCCCATGTGATGCATGCGATGTGATTTTTGGTGACTGAATCTTTTTAATGAGATATCAGGGGTCCTTTGACAACCCTTGATGTCTCATCTGTCCTCACTTGCTTCTGCATCATTAACAGGAAGATGAGATCAGCAAACAAATGTTCACTGTTCTCCCTCCCCTTCACCCAGCGGCACCCACCATGCTAGTCCCGAGTCCACCATTCTTGCATCCATGCATCTACAAATCCAAACAAAGCATCAAAATTACCTGAAAAAACTTAGCTCAGGTGTGAATGGTGGCACACGATGATTGATACAATGCTATTACATGGGGGTAGGAAGAAAGTCAACTAGAGTGACCTGCAGCTTACGGTTGGCGTCTTCTCCTTTGTTGTCAGAGGTTAAATGAAATGCAGGGTAGCGAAGCAAAGTAACTATGTGCAGCTGGGGAGAGGGCATGTTTGTCTCTATGCTGCTTTTCATCCCCACTGAAATCACTGTAAAAGCAACCAAAATGCAGCTCAGCGAGACTCATAATTACCCCGGTTCACATATCCACATTCATATGAATGGACTCCCGTGCCCTGGGACACGCAGGGAAGAAGTCCCTGCACTTCTTCTGAAAACGCAGCCCACACAGGAACCTCGGTTCCCAGTGCAGTTGCGATTTCCAGTGTGGGCGGCCGGTCCGCATTCTTCTGTGAACCTAGCCTTGGATTGAAGCAACTACTTCAGCAACTAAAAGAAAAATCAAAGCAAATCAAAACTTTATCAAACCATCTCAGAATCACACAAAACAATACTGCTTTGGACTCTTCTGGTAAGCATGTAAATTAGATGATCAGTTCTGGGCAGCAGCTGCCCAGTGTCTGTTTGCACTTTGTAAAATGAACAGTCTATATTACTTTAGCAGATCAAACTCACCGACTGGAAGTTTATATACATATAGAACTGCCCCCTTGATTGCCACTGAGTTATTTTCAGGTTCCCTATCTCCCTAAGCCTGCTTTGGAAGCCCAATTCCTGATGACACCAGCTTAAACCTTTCGCCAGAAGAACCCTCTGGCCTTTTAGCATAAAATAGACTCACACACAAGTTAGAACAGACGCTTCAATTATTTTTTAGTTCAAATGGTTAGCATGGTAAAATTAAGCACATAATTAAGCACAAGGTTTGCAACATAGCACACTCAAATCAGTTCTTTTGTATGCCCTGCAATTCAGAATTCACACAGTAACCTCAGCCCTGAGATGTTTTCTCTCAAGTGAGCAGAATGGGAAGCAATCGAATTGATGGACTAGCTCATTTTGGGCCCTCGGGTACCTGTGACTGGGTTCAATTCTAAAAGAATGACTTCATCAGGATCCCTGAGCCATGACGCAATGCGTAGGTGATGTGGTGATGCAATATCCAGTGGAGACGCCATCTTGGTACTCCATACGAACCCATGAAAAACTACACCCATAGCATTAGGTTGAAATGCTGTTTTTCTTCTGAAACAAAGTGAGTGTAAAATTGTCACTTTTATGGATATATATGCACATTAAACGGTATTATACTATGGAGGCTCTCTCTTTCATGTTCTTACTATAATTCCTGTGAGAGTTGGCTGTATTGCGTATACCTTAAGGGGATCTGAAGGTGATCTAAACTGAGAAGCTAAACGCACGGTTTTTGAAGTGAGTTATACTACTACTTGGAAGGATACCATTAAAGGGAAACCATACTTTGAGGATCCAGAGGTGATCCCAAAAGCGGTTTGGCGCATTGGGTCATGGTAAGGCGTTGAGGAGGCAATTCATCCATTTTTTGGATTCTTCACCAGCAGCTGCAATGCACATCCACAGCACCACCTGCATGTTTTAAATATATGTGGAACACTGGGTTTATATGCACAATTTGTGTTGGACTTTTTTTTAAATTTTTCATTTGATGGGGTATTTGTATATTTCTTTATACAATTTTTAGGAATTATTTTGGGATTTAAATTTTGAGGTATATTCAAAGAGGACGAGATTGTGATTTTTTCTCTGTTATATGGGAATTTTTGAGTGTTTTTTACTGAGCACTATTTACTGTATTTAGAAAATATATCCCCCAGTGCTGGGATCACCTGTATGTGTCACTCATTTTAGTTGATTGCCAGGCTGTGTTCAGCAACTGATCCTAATTTAGGATCTGGTTATTTGTGAGCACTTTGTGTGCAGAGTTATCACATTGGGTCCAATCCAGGACCAAGATTGTTTTATTTTATTATTTCACTTACTGTTTTTTTTCACTTTAAAGATCCCAATGAGGATCAGGTCACTATATTTATTTATCACTGTATAATTTGTTTTTATGATTATTTGAGCATTTATTTATACTATATGTATGAGTGCTACACCAATTTGCATAGGTTTTAGCACTATCTACTTATAGGTAAAAAGTTGTGGGTGTCAGCAGCCATTGTTTTGTATTGTTTCTCACTTCCTAGCGCAGGAGGTTCATACCAACTAATACATTACAGTAGTACATTTTTGACACAGTGAAAAAAAATAGAGAGCATCTGAGCATGTGCAGAGCAGGGTGAGACAGTGTATTACTAGATTTAAACAGTATAGGGATTTATTTTTAATATATATCCCAGATAAAAAACATCCCAGAGCACTCTAGGTGAGATAAATATCACAAAGCACTCTAGTTGAGTAAGTCATTCAAGCGATCCATATACTGTATATAAATATATATATATATATATATATATATATATATATATGTATATATCTAGACTGCTAGAATGCTAATGAACATTTTATGTTTATTTTGTATCCATGTTTTATATATTTTTTCTTAGTGGTATTCCATGCAGTATTTCAAAAGTCTCCTGAAGAAGCCAGTGACTGCCGAAACATGTCGAGCTGAAGTTACTGCTTATGTACAACAGCCATATGAACACTTTGTGCTGGTTTTTATGAAATTGCTATTTTTATCTATTTGTATATTTCAATAACATTTTGGATATTTTTATAAATCTGTGTTGGCACCTTGAAACTCCCGTTCTTCTCTATATATTTTTTGAGTCTATCTTATGGGATGTGGTGCCTTTGAACCTCAGACACCAGGTAACCCACTTCACTTATTTGTAATGTTTTATATACTGTAGCTATACCTGCAAAAGGGGCCAGCATGAAGTTATCTAGTTGGACTTAACTTTCTGATTAAAGTTCCACCTTAACAGTGAGGAAGTTACCTCTGGGTGGATCTGGGCATTTTTTTCCCTGGAGGGTTTCACTAGGGGCAGCTCCACCAGATGTAAAATAGAGTATCAACTTCCTTATTATTATTATTATTATTATACAGTGTTTATATAGTGCCAACAAGTTTGCTCAGCGCTGTACAATATAGTGGGGGACAGAACATGAGACAATACAGTAACAAAACAATATACAAGAGGTTCGAGGGCCCTGCTCTTTCGAGCTTACAATCTAGGAAAGCACCTTATGTCAGCAGCAACAAAGGCTGGATTTGTGTGGGTCATATTGTGACATATAATTCTATTTTTCCACTCCTTTAGAAAAATATAAATGATTATAATGGGTGTCAGATAGCACTATGCCATGTAGAAAACATGTAGGGTGATCATGTGGGTCTCCTGATTGCCATGCTTGTTGGAAGAAAGTGAGTGGGTGGTGTAGATGTTGCTGACTGGACTAAGATCTGATAAAGTATGAAAGCTGCCAGTACTAAAGCTAGGCACCCCTTGGTGGACATTCAAGTTGCTTTAGTTCAGTTGCTTGCCAAAACAAGAAGGATCTTAAACCTTTTGCAGGTGGGAATCATAGGTTGACTATGACTGGGGCAAGTGGGCCATAAGGAGTAGATATCTGAAACATGGACATAGTGGAACGCCAAGTCATAAGTATCATGGGGACAAAGAAAGGTAAATCTGTCAGATTTGATAGGTCTATGTGAGGTAGCCAGGTGAGGGAGGTTAATGGGATCAATGATGTGCCTCTTTCTATTAACACTCATCTCTTAAGATTGGCAGAGGCAAACCAATCTAAGATATGAGATAACTGTATGGCTTTGTGGAGAACTTCAATGTATGGAAGAGTGGCTCCACCATGTTCTTTGAGTTTATTAAAAATCTGGTAGCTGAGTGTGGGTTTGTTACCCTTCTAAATGTATTTCAATAAAGCCAACCTCTAATCAGTAAAGAATTGATGAGAAAAAGATATATGGACTGCCATCTTGAAAAGGATTATGTATATAGCTAACCGCAGTATGGCCATGTAGGATAAGTTAGACCAATTTTGAAGTGTTCAACAGACTTCATTAAGGAGGGGGCACAAAAATATGTTTATATAGTTCTCCCAGGATGCAGGGTGTTTCCATTTAACTGGGAACAGGTCTCTAATCTGTGAATTTATACTGTGGGAAAGTGAGACATTCAACATTTGTGAC